AAATCGGTGAAGTGTAACCTTAAATGCATATTAACCTTCAATAAATACATAATACATAATATATAATATAATATATAATAAATATATGTACTTTAATAAAGAAGTAAAATTTTTTTCAGGATACAGGAATTTCCCCAGAATTTATACCCTTTGACTAGGGTGGAGGCACCAGTAGTCGACCACTTAACGTATAACACGAACGATTCATTTCGATATGTAAAAATAGATTACGTCATGATAGGTGAAACCACATCAAAACTTATCAGGAAGATTAGTTTTCGCGATAGAATTTATATTTTTTTTTGCTAGAACAAAGACAAAGGTTTTAATTATCATTAAAACAAAAAACGAGCTAAATCACCAGTGGTCGACCGTGTTTGACCAGAAGTCGACCTAGCTGGTAACCAATACTCGGCCATCTTTTCTGTATCATTACTTTGATGCTAAAGAATTCAAGAAATATGAAAACTATACAGAATACGTACAATTTAATTTAAAAAATGATAAAAAACATAAATTTTGTGTTAATTAACATTTATTAATCAATATTCAGTACATATATTAATAACTATTTAATACAATCTTTATCGTATTCAGGTAAAGCTATCAGTCTTGTAAAGAATAAGATTAAGATAATTAAGATAATTAGATAAAGTATAAATTATTCAATTTTTTTGGCTTTTTATGCTTTTAATTTATTTAGTTTACTTCTTTTATTAGAGTGATCTTTGATACATTTATCTAATTTTTTTTTGTTTTTGGTTTACATAACTTTTGTTTCTTACTTTTTATACTCTCTTCCCATTCTTCTACTTTTTTTTTGTTTTTTATTTTAATCTTTTCTGAATTCTCAATCTGCTTCTTCAATCTTTCTTTTTCCCATTCTTCTACTTTCTCTTTCTTAATTTTACTTTTCTGTAAATTCTCAGCTTGTTTCCTTAATTTTTCCTCTTGTTTTTGGCGTTTTCGCAATTCAATATTTTCTTTTTCTACAATTTTTTTGTTGTAAAAATCACGCCACGATTTTGATGAGATAGCACTCGGAGGCTTAACTTTTGGTGCCTTTTGTTGTTTGCTTTTTAATGGAGCTGGATAATAAATATGTTTCTCGAAAGCTTTATTGAGAATGTCAACCTTCTCATTTTTAATATGTTGAGTGTGAGTTCTCTGTTCGTCAGTAACAGTCATTGAACTATTTATAGGATTAGAAGGACTGTTTAAAGGAGAGGTACCATCAGGATTAACGTTTTTGTCTAAAAGACATATCAAAAAATAAAAATAATATATACATTAAATAAAATGTGGATTCATGTAAGAGACACTTTGAGAAATTTAAAATATTGATAATAGTAATAAGACGTGAAAAATAAATTGATATACCAAGCATTGTTGTTGGAGAAGGAACGGATTCAAGATTGGATTCATTTGAAGGAAGTACGTTAATAACAGGAACTTCTGATATTGAACCATCTGGAAAAACTAAAAGAATATGCTAGTTAATAATCAAATATTCAATTCTTCTATTAGAAAAGTAGTAATTTATTACGTACTTAAAGTAACCTTCTTGTCATACGAACTATCAAGTTTGTCTATTGGAATAGCATTATCAATGCTTTTTTCACCAGTATTTCTTGTTTTATAATCAAACTCACCAATCTCAGGCAATCCATCAAGTTTATCTATTTGAATAGCATTATCAATGTTTATTTCACTAGTACTTTCTGTTTTTTCAGTATCAAACTGACCAATCTCATCTGGTGATTCAGCAACTGAAAAATCATATAATCAAATATTCTATCAAATATTATATCATAATGAATCCAAAATTTGTTCAGAAACTTGAAAACAAATACGGAAATTATGATTTAAAATTCAAAAAATTATACTCACAAGAATCTGTTTTTTCAAAACTGAGACTTTTTTCAATTTCTTCTATAATAATGTCAGTATTAACTCCTCTAGCCTTTAATTTTGGAGCTATATTTTGAACAACTGCTTGTAAATGTTTTACATCTTGAGTTAGAGAGTTGGCTTTATCAATTTCATTACTCGACGAAGCTGCTAGATTTTCTAGAATATTTTGTACACATTTTGAGTAATCAACAGCATCTGCATTAAATGGAAATAAACCACATTTTCGAAAACCATTCACAATACTATTTTTTAGTTCATTATTGTTCAAAGTTTCTGCGAGTAGTGGAGCAAACGTTATTTTTGTTAGACACGTATTAACATTCTCTGGTTTTACTTGCCACTTCATAATTGTGTCTTTCCAATCAGTTTTTAGAGGCTTAAATACACTTACATCAGCAGGCTGCATGATATGCGTACAGTTTGGTGGCAATGCATACAAAATTATATCATTACTATCACAAAATTGACTTAGTTGCATCGTCATGTGAGACTTATGACCATCAACAAAGCACAATATTGGCTTTTTTATATTATTTTTATCTAGCCAAGTATTGAAGTCATTCGCCATGTACTCAAAAAATACTTCACTTTTCATCCAGCCTGTTTCTGATCTTCCTAGCACCCAATCTTCTGGTATGCTGTTAACTAATTCTTGGGAAGGACGAATGTAAGGATACACTATCATTGGTGGAGCTATCTGCCCACTTGCTGAGAAAACTAATAAAACTGTTATAGTTTCTCTTTCGTTGCCCATCTTAACTTCATAAATATTTTTCCATCCTTTTGCACCAATAACTTTCCCAGTGTTTGGACATAAACTGAACGCTGTCTCGTCTCCATTAAAAATTCTTGTAGAATCCTGAAGAACATCTTCCAAATTGTTTTCTTTTAAATAACTTTTTAAATCTTTGAACCATTTTCTCAATGACTCTTCAGTTATTACTGCTCTACCTTTAGAAATACCTTCAGACTGACGTATACTTAAATCTGGGTGTCTCTGTAGAAATAATTTTAACCATTTTTTTCCAGGTCGATCATGTTTGAAAGGAGTTTTAAAATTACTATCTTTTACTATTTTCTGAATAGTATTCAGCAAAAAATATTTTTTAGGAGGAAAACCGCACTTCACTAAATTCTTAATCCATAACACTAGCTTCTCTTCTCCTGGTACTGTTAAATAAGGATCAGGTCCCATTTGCCGTTTCCTTTCTGGCACTCTTGCTTTCAAAATATCACTAAGAGTTGTTCGAGGTACACCAAATTGTTTACTAGCTTGGCGCACACTCATTTTTGATTCTCGAATATTTTGTAAAGCATTTTGAAGTGCTTCACTTGAGTATTGTCTAAATAATCTTTTTTTTTTCTTCGTAGCAGAATGACTATTTTTTGACTTATTACTTTTTTTGTGACTATTCATTTGTAAGACATTTCATTCCATACCTGAACATTTTACAACAATATTTTGAGTTTATATTTAAGGTTAAGAAAACTTTTGAACACAAAATTATATACTTACACCCAATTGTATACACCAATAATAATTTCCAATAAATAATTAGAGCTTTGAATTTTATATAAACCTACGCAAGCAATCATTATTTTGTTCTAAAATAAGATATAATTAGCCTCTAATAAACTCGAACTTTTTTGTATCCATCGGACGACATCTAGCTTCCACTGCAATAAAAGCTGCGCCAAAAGTCGACCGTGATGGTCGATTATTGGAAATACATAAATAACAGCGATCCAGTTACCGACATCCCGTTTTTAAATTATTAAACGCACTTTTTCATAATTTCTGAAAAACGATATGATTCTTAGAGTATTTTTAACTATTATAAATCAATATTTGCTTTGAAAATATGGACTATAGAATAGTACCAACACTTCGTTCTCCGGGTCCATACGATCTCAGCAGAGACCGGAAGCTTAGATCGCGCGGAGAAGATGACAAATCGCCAAATCTTGATAAGAAATAAAAAAATATATGTACTTCTAGCGATAGTTTATAGATAGTTTTTGAAACTTTAGAAGGCAGAGAATTACATACATTCATTACTTTGTCTCAGAATATTTTTCGAATATTATTCGTTTTACTTAAAAGTTGAAAGTGGCCGACTACTAGAGACTGGTCGACCACTGGTGCCTTCACCCTATATAAGTATGGACTGCTAGTTCCCCCCACTTTTCCCATTTAAGCAATGTATAAGCAGCGTAGGTAACATAGATAAGAAATAGGCACCGCCTTTGGGCCAAAAAGCGGGAAATTCAAATATAGTTCGAGAAAGTAAGTAAGGTAAAAAATGTAAATGTGAAACATAATTACTTGTACAAACAAATTTAATATAATTTAAATAGAATTTGCCATAAATAATAATAATAATAATA